GTCATGCGCGTGCAAGAGGTCACCTAATGGATGCTTGCGGGATGCAGGGGGCGGCACGCCCCCGCACAAGAAGCTCCCGCCGACCCCGCACCCGGGGCCGCCAGCCCCGACATCTCCCCGCCCACCCTGGACGACCCCGCAGCCCGACCGCGCATCCCAGGCCCGCGACCCACCAGCCCCAACCCTGCGGCGCACGCCCCGCCCACCCCCACCCCCACCCCACAAAACAAACCTTATTGATCTCTTGGACCGCGGCGCCAAAGGCCTCAGGGCGGCGGTAGTCCTCGGCCAGCAGGGTGGCCTGCGCGTCGTGTCGTTGCAGCCGCAGGCAGACTCTGCTGAGGAGCATGTTTGCCCGAGTGCTGGTACGGGCTTGGACGGGGGCGGCTCTGATCACTGCAGCTCTGATCACGCCGCGACGCTGCCCTGGCCTCAGAGCCCCGAGTGACTCAGGCCGCGTCCACCCGCGCGGCCGCCGCCCTCTCCAATCCCAACTTACCCGCGCCAGGCCTATCTTGATGTCATCCAGGAGGCGGTCGCATGACACCTGGGTGGGGGGGGGGGCAGGGTTGCAGGGCAGGAGGGGCTGTCATTATGTGGTGAGGCAGGGACTGAGGGGAGGGGCCGACCATCGGGAGGGGTAAGGAGGCCGCCTGTTCAGAGACAGGAGGGTGTTGGTGGAACGAGAGGTGATATGGGGAAAGGGAGGCAGCCCTGTGGATGCCTGGTGCGCTGCAGCGCCCATGGGCACGGCGCGGTGCTTTAACAGCAGGGGGGGAGGGAGGTGGCGGAACCAGGGGTGGGGTGCAAGGTTGGGGGAGGGCGACTGAAGGGGCAGCAAGGCCGAGCCCCTGGTTTCCGCATTGGCACACTCTCTGCTTTGAAACATTACAGGGGCTGCTGCCTGCCTGCATGCGGCCCAGCTCGGACGTCTTGGCCATGAGCTCAGACCTGCGGGGTGCAGAGGGGCGTGAGCGGCGTGAGGTGTGTGTGAGGCAGGGTGGAGGGGCAGGGTTGATCTGCGTGTGAGTTCAAGCATGGCACATTGCTTGCAGGGAGGGGTGGATACAGGGCAGAACAGTGGTGCGTTGTTGGGTGGTGGCATGCTGTCTGTGACAGGCCACGCCCGTCTGCGAAAGCGCTGAAGAGAGCCGAGTGGGTGCCAGGACAAGCCCAAGGGTGTAATTGTAGGAGCACACGCAGCCCCTGCCTGCGTTGCTCGTTGAAATCTAGCGTGCTGTGAGGATGGGGGGTCGGCGGAGGGGTTCGTGCCGGTGCGACAGCGGTGGCGGCGATCAGGGGCCCTTCAGAGACGCAGACGGGAGAGGTGGGCGGCTGGCGGGCGGCGGGCGTGCGGCATTCGGCGCCCGGGGGGCCCCGCGGGTGTAATTCAGGCCAGACTTCACACACCCGCGCGACTCCACCGCGCGCAACGCGGCGACTGCACGTAGCAGACCCGAGCTGCACCAAAGCATGTCATAGAACCTTGCCGCATCAAAGCTGCAGCGGTGATTGCCCGTGGCCAAGCCTGCAAAAAGCTGCAAAACTATGCAATGCACCTGGCCTTTCTTAGGGCAGCTAGGGGCGCTGGAAATGCAAGTGGACAAAGCCTCTGCGCCATAAGCAGGCACGGGCACCGGCGCTGCGCGCTTGCTCTCGACACACTGCTGCAAGCGAGCGCTGAGCGCGGCGCGTGCGGAGCAGGAGGGTCGCAGGTGCTGGCGGCTGCCGCGCTGGCGCCGTCTGGGGGCGATCCACACTAGCCTGACGGGCGGCCGCGGCCACCGCATGCCTGCACCTTGGCCGGCCGGCCGACCGGACCAAGAGCCCAGGCGCCTGCTCGACGCCACAGCACGGCCGCCATGTCTACGCCTCAGAGTCCTTCAGCAACCTTTCTTACGACGCTCAAGCAACCCGTTTCCCCCGGCATACGCAAAGCAGCCCTATTTGGTAACTGCACCTCCCATGGAACCCGGGGTAATTCCCAGATCAACGAAAAGACCGCCCATGGCACGGCACAGGGCCGCCACTCACTGCAGCGCCCTCTTGCGCCCCTCTGCCTGCTGCAGCCGCGCCTTGGCCGTGTCAAGGGCGGCCCGCTGCTTGGACAGGGCCTCCTCCGCCGCCGCCTTGATCTGCGGCAGGTGGCGCGAGTCAGGCGCAGAGGTGACTGCCGCTGCGTTGTAGTGAGATGCACTTCTAGGTGACGACGTTTGGTGGCATGCGACCACAGAATCCAAAAGATGACGAATGCAGAGCAGTTTGCTGAGAAGTTTGCAGCAGGGCCGGCGAGCACGTCAGCCCCTGCCCCAGGTCTAGTGCTGGAGGCGAATAGGATGCCGTCAGGCGCAGCAAGACTGGGTGGAGGCATCATGCAATAAAGCACGCCAGCTCGCCTGCACTGGCGGCGGCAGCTGCGTGGCCCCCAGCAGCTGCAGCAGCGGCGCCCGCTTGGCCTGCAGCAGCGTGGCCAGCTCTGCGCGCTTGGAGGCTAGCTCCTGGCGCTTCAGGCGGAGGGTGGTGGCCGCGTCGCTGGCCGCGCTCGCGCGGTCGCGTTCCTGGGGAAGGGTCGGTGCGGGTGCGGAGATTCACGTTGTGTGCGCGTGCGTGCGTGCATCGCAAGGTTGGGTTTTGAGTATAACGTGTTGAAATCATTTATGCACGAGTGAGTTGAGCGCCCCGCAGGAGGCGCCCCAAGGCAGTAGGGCCTGACTCAATTCCTTACAGCAGCCAAGCCCAGCAGCAGGCCGGGCGCCCCGGCCCCTGGCGCCTAGAGGTTCGCCACGCGCCCCGTCCCGCCACCACCTCTAAGCCCCCCCCCCACGCCCGCCCGCCTGCCTGCCGACTTCTCCCCTAGGACCTGCATTACTAGCACGTAAAACAGCAAGAGCAAGCGCCGCAGCACTTACAGTCCTAAGCTCCGCCATGCGCCGCCCCAGAGACTCCAGCTCCTGGCGCATCGCGGACAGCGTCTCGTCGTAGCGCGCCTGGGATTTTTTGGGGGGGGGGGTCGCGTCCGTGTGCAAGTGTGTTGATGTGATGTGCGCGTGGTGAGTCGCGCAAGACCGCCCTTGCATTTGTTCCCGGGGCTGAGGCGCAGAGTCATGGGGTGGGGCGGGGAGGGTCGCTTGGCGGGGCGGAATGGATGGGTCCAAAAGCCACGCTGGGAGGCAGGGTTTGGAAGTCAGGTTGGAATGCTGGCGTTGCGCAAAGAGGCGCGGCCAAGCTCGCGCTGCAGGGGTGCCGCCAGGTGTGCTGAGTAGCAGGCTGGCGTTCACCACTGGCAGCAGCCAGAGCGCAATGGGCTCTCGGTGCGGCTGATCCCTTTCAAGGCGCGCCAGGCGTGAAGCGGTCCATCCAAGCGCATTGGTGACGACTTGCGCGTGCACAAGTATGGCTACCCAGCTGCAGGAACCTCAGCAGCCGGCCGCAGCAGCTCAGGCCATGCAATACTCCCTGCTCCCCTGGCAGAATCGCACTTGTTCCCATCCCTTCTGAAGCTTTTTATGCACGATCGCATGCAGATGCACATCGTCACCTCCCACCTCCCACTCCAAATTGCAAATAAAGCTGCTCCTGCCAAAAACCGCGTAACCCTCGTGGCTCCCCACGTCACCCCACCCCAATGACCCCACCCTCCCGGCCCCCACACACTCACCTGCTCAAGCTCCCTCTGCTTCGTCTCCAGCAGCTGCCCCGCCGCCTCGGCCTGCCCCGCCGCGTCCCCGATGGACCCCTCGTTCACTTGGCACTGGGAGATCTGAGGCCAGGGGGTGGCATGGCTGGTGGGTTGTGGGCCGGGCAGTCCAAGAACTTGTAAGCTGTGTGTGTGTGTGTGTATGTGTGAGTGTGTGTGTGTGTGTGTGTGTGTGTGTGTGTGTGTGTGTGTGTGTGTGTGTGTGGTGGGGGTGAACAGGAGGCGG